AAAGCTTGAAAGCATGGCCGGGTCATCTCTTCTACCAGTTAAGCCAGAGTCTCTGGGAGTGGGACCCAGCCATCAGCCATTACTCCAACACGCCTGCGTGTCTCCGGGCATCAAAGGCTGTGAATCGCTGCTTTCGAGGAGCCAGGGTCACATCTCCCTCTCTCTCACCTCCCATTCCAGTGAGTTTCCAAGGCTGTAAATCTCAACCGGAGCAGACTGCCTTGTCTTTCTCAGAACCGCTTTTAGCGCCTTACAGCCCCACCAAGAACAACAGCCCTGAACCTGGCCCTCTCCCGACCCACTTCCACCACCTCTGACGCCCCTGGCTCCACTACCATAGTCCCTGTGTCAACCCATCTCGTACAGAGCCACCTCCACCCTTCCAAGCATGAGGTCCTTCTCCAAGGAAGTGCCCCTTCTGACAACGTGCCCAGAGTACGTGAGACAGAGCTTCAAAATCCTTGCCTCCAACGAGCTAGCTGGTCTCACCCTCTTCAGAACACGCTTGCTTGTTTTCTTGACAGCCCCATGTGATTTACGGCCTCTGAAAATTCACTGGAGGATCAAAATTGGGAGTAGCTGACACTGTGGAAACCCACCTGATTGCCATGGTAACTGATGGCTCAGGGACATGGTGCTATCTGTATGGTTCAGAGCCCACCAGTTCCTCCACTGGTACTGCCCATAACTGCCCATAACCCCAGGGAATGCAGGCCCACATGTGAAAATGTAATGAAGGTCACCTCATTATTGCTGCCTCAGCCAGTGTTCCCTGCATCACACTTGTTCTACTGTGTCATTCATTTACATTCAGCGTTCCACAAGTGCTTTCTGGAAGTTAAGCTGTATCTCCCAGTGAACAAGACAGTCACTGCCTTCATGAAGCTCACACTGGACTGGCAAGCACTTGTCAAATTTCCTGCATGATGGCAGGAATCCATCTTTAATTTGGAAAAGCTTATTCAAACACATTTGAATTCAGGTCACAAGTGGTAACTTGTTTTTCAGGTAAACCTGGGCTCCCTCCAGATCCTGATGCCTGTCCCCGAATCCCGGGGCTTCCTGGGGTCCCAGGCCCGAGAGGACCAGAAGGAGCCATGGGGATCCCCGGAAGCATTGGTCCCCCAGGCCCAGGTAGGGGACTCACTCGGATTGTTCATTGGTTATATCATATCCTGCTGAAATAAAAAACTCAGGTGTTTTGCTGTTTTGTTCTTGCGTGAGACTTAAACGCTACTGGTAAATTATGCATGGTATTAAAAGAGTTGAGGTTGGGGCTGGACAAGGGTGACTGCACCATGGAGGATGGCATGGTGGTCAAGACCCCAGTGAGGGGTAGCGCTGGTGTGAAGCCTTACAGAAGGGCTGGGAGCCGAGCAGCCACAATTGTCTAAGAGGTAGACGGCCGGACATAGGCTGAGCACTGTAGTCTGACACGCTGGGAACTAAGATTCAGTACCATCTTTGCGACTTGTTTTTTGTTGGTTTGGTTTTTGTTTTGTTTTTTTAACTTTGTGCTGTGATTTGGGTCAATGTTTTCAGCGTGCATTGATTTTCCCATTCAACAATTCCTGCACGCATTCTTTCACTCCACTGATGGTGGTCCCCACAGTGTCACCACACTCATCCTACCGACACAGAAGTCTGCAGTTTGAATCCACCATTTGCTCCTTGGAAGAAAGATGAGCAGTCTCCTCGCATGTGATTTACTGCCTCTGAAAACTCACTGGAGGGTCAGCTGTGAGTCTGTTCATGTCACTGATACACAACAACAACAACAACAACAAGGACCTAATAGGAGCCTGGTCACACGAGTTAAGTGTCCATATGCTAACTGAAAGGTTGATGGTCCAAACCCATCAGCTTCTCCCCAAGAGGAGTATGTGGCCGGCTGCTTCCATCAAGATTACAGCCTGCGAACCCCTGTGGGACAGTTCCACTCGGTCTTGCAGGATCTCAGTGCATCAGTGAAGGGTAGGGTTGAATTCTTTGAAATGTGATGCTGCAATTCTCCAGGCTTCTGTTACAAAAGACCCTTTTTGCTCCCAATGCCTGTCTTTGTCCCTTCTCCTGGGCTGTGCCCACTGGTTTCACTGGCTTCTTGACCACGGCATCTGGTTGGCAGGAATGATGAGTCCTGGCTCAGCGTCTACCATCTCAGCTCTGGACTGTCCGCGTTGCATTGCACGTTATGTTTTATCCACCTTTTTCTGCCAGAGATTCTTTTCAGCTGCATGCCCGAGTTACACACCAGGGCGGAGCTGGTGCTGAACAGCTCCTGTTGTGAAGAACCAAGTCCCCTGGAAATTACGTTCTTGACGTCTGCCTGCTTTCCCTTCAGACGTGCTTGTTCATTGCTAAGCTGGCATTGCAACGAAGTTCTGCAGCTGAGATGGCTCCAAAAACAATGAAACAAACACTGGCTCATCTTCTGCCAGTTTGAGTGGGCAGCAGACACACCAAATCCAGCTCATGCCTGTTGGGAGTCCTCGTTGAAGAAGGCCTGACACGCCTCTGCTTATAGAGCTCTTGGACCTCTAGCCCCTTCAGGGTGGCCCTCCAAGGCAGAGGGGGTCCCTGTTGTGAGCAGGAAGGTGGCTTCCATGATGGTTGAACTGTTACTGTTCCGTGGACATACCACATCCTTTAAGCCTTATGTGTGTATCTTCAGGTCAATGCTTGGCCCACCTACAATAAGGGAACTTTTCAGATACGCTTTTAGTCCTTCGAACAAATGCCAAATAAGAACTAGTCTGCATTGTGAAAGGTGCTGGCCTCAGAGCTACAGTTAACAGACACTTTCCTGTCTCTTGGGAAGCATCATCTGTTGGCTAGTTTCTCTGTGTTTTTTCCCCTAAAAAGGAACAAAGCCTACCCGACCACACGTGGTGTGGGAACACTTCCCAGATTGCCGATGATTGTGCCTCATGTCTAGAGCAGAAGGAGGGCCTGCTGCCTTAGACTCTTGGCAGGACCTAGAGGCATGCGTGTCCTGTGCAGTTGAAAACATGAGTGTAACTTCGAGCTGACTTGAACGACATGGGTTTGAATTGCACGGGTCTATTTAGACGTGGATTCCTTTCCTCTGCCCCCTTGCAGTAGTGTCATGTGTAGCCTCTAAAATCCCTGTGTGATGCCAACCTTTCCATGGAAAGACTTGTTCAAGGGTCAGCTGTACAGTCCCAGCCTTGTGAGCTGGGAGGACCAGAGGGGGTAGTGTAGTCCAGTCCAGTCCACTGTGCTGGCCCAGGGTCACGTGCAGTACCTGCCAGCAGGTGTCCCAGATGTTTTCATCAGCTTCACTGTGAACTTCCCTGCAGAATGCAAAGGAGAGCCTGGGCTGGATGGCAGGAGGGGCAAGCCTGGCACTCCTGGGGTTCCCGGGTCCCCCGGACACAAGGGCGACATGGGCGAAGCTGGCTACCCTGGAGCACCAGGTATGGAAGTTCTGTTTCTCCTCTTCTCTGACTCCACTGACCACAGAACCTTTTACAAGATTCTTTACCTTTCTAGTAGCTTTAGGGGGCTCTGATGGTTTACTGCGTAAGGAGTTGCACTGCCAACCCAAAGACACACAGTTCAAATTTACTAGTTGCTTTAAGAAAATGGTTTAGGGAGCTCTGGTGGCCTCGCAGCCAAGCTGTGCTGCAATCCTGAAGGCACACAGTTCAAATCCAACAGCTGCCCTGTAGGAGGATGGGTGATCTCCTCTTGGGCAGTTTACTGCCTTTGAAAACCTGCCAGCGGGTCAGCTGTGGGTCGGTTCCGACTCTGCAGTACTAACCAACAACAGTAGCTTTCCAAACTGGATCCAGTTAAAAACACGACCCTTCGATGCCAACTCCCCTGATATTAGGGAGACAGATGCATTCAAAGAAAGAATGAGATGCACCTCATGTTCCAATGATGTGAAACACTTTGCTGTCAAGACCATTCCAGCTCAATGGCCTGAGAGAAAAGTGATCCACGGGGCTTCCAGAGGGAGTGCTGGTGGCTTAGTCAGTGGGATTTGCTTTGCTAAAGGCTGGGTGTATCTGTGGTTCAAGTCCACCAGCAGTTCCACAAGAGAAAGATGGGCCTGTTTCTCCCATTGTGATTAAGAGTCTTGGAACCTGTGGAGAGTTGCTGTATATGATATGATGAGTCAGAACCCACTCAATGGCCTTGACATTGACTTTGAGGGTTTCCAAGGCCGATGTCTATGGAAGCAGAATGCTTGTCTTTCTGCATAGCAGCTGAGGGGTTAGAACCGCCAACCTTTGGGTTGGCAGTGGAGGGTTTAAATGTTGTCCTGCCAGGACATCAAGACTTTTTAACAGATGCTAAATCAGTCACGTGCTATGCATCAAAGAGCTGGGCAATGACTAAGGAGGATAGAAGGAGAATTGATGCCTTTGAGCTGTGGTGCTGGAGAAGAGTATTGAATATACCATGGACTGCTAAGTAAACAAACAGGTTCATCCTGGAAAGGGTTAAACCAGGCTGCTCCTTGGAGGCAAGGATTCTGAGGCTCCATCTGACATACTTTGGACATGTTGTAAGGAGAGACCGGTCCTTGGAGAGGGACATCATGCTTGGGAAGGTGGAGGGACAGCACAGAAGGGGAAGGCCCTCTATGAGGTGGATTGATTCAGTGACGGGGATAATCGGGGTGGGAGTGTCAGAGACAATGAGATTGGCACAGGACAGAGCAGAGTTTAGGGCTGTTGTAAACAAGGTCGCTATGAGTCGCAGGCAACTCGACGGCACATAACAACAACAACAACAAACCATTCTAAAAAGTGGTCAGTTTCCTGTAGCCAACTCACCATGTCTCCAGACCACTGTGTCTGACCCTGAAGCTCTAAGTCCTTTCAGCTGCTCATGTTGGACGGAAACGAAGGGTCTGCAGCCTTGAAAACAGGACAGACTGGGGAGCGGCAGCCACACTGGCTTTGAAGAATCACCTCTCCGAGGCGGGCTCCCTGGGCGGTCTCGGGAGCCAGGGTCACCCGCGGGTGCACAATCCCCCTACGCCCTTCTCTGCATCCGTCAATTTCTAACTTGTTGCATCGTCTACTTTCTTCTGTGCTTAATTGTCCTGTCTCTTCCTCTGGTTGAATGTAAATTCCATGAGGGCAGAAATTGTGTCTCATTTCTATGCTAACAGACCGCAAGCACTTGAAAAGTGCCTGGAATAAATAGCTGTGAAGGGACTGGGCATACGCAGCTGGGACTGGGGGAGACTAATAATGCCGGGGCTGGGGCTCTGTTAGCTCCACCTTTGCTCCTGGACTGTTTACACAGCGCTGGGACAGACGTGCGTGGAGCTGGCGTTTACACCGTACAGAGGTGCATGGAGATGTTTGCTGAATGGAACCCTTACACTGCCTTCACTCTTTCTTTATCCACTAGGCCCTCCTGGTCCCACTGGGGATCCTGGGCCCAAAGGCTTTGGAGCTGGATACCTCAGCGGCTTCCTCCTGGTGCTCCACAGTCAGACGGATCGAGAGCCCTCCTGTCCGGCGGGCATGCCCAAGCTCTGGACGGGGTACAGCCTGCTGTTCCTGGAGGGCCAGGAGAAAGCTCACAATCAGGACCTTGGTACGTAGCTACCTCTCAATGTGCCAGATCCTTCACATTCAGAGAAAATTCCTGAGTTCAGTTTACAGATTCACCAGCATCTTATATGATCACTAATTCTAAAGGAAGGGGTCTGGTGACTTAGGGGTAAGGAGTTGTGCTGCTAACGGTTACAAAGGTGCACAGTTCGAATCCACCAGCTGCTCCATGGGAGAAAGGTGGACAGTCTCCTCCCATGTGATTCTCTTCCTCTGAAAACCCGCTGGAGGGTCAGTTATGAGTCAGTTCTGACTCAGCGGTACACAAGAACAGTCTTAAATGAGAGAGGTGTGGTGGGACAGTCCATATGGTTGTGCTGTCAGCCCAAATGCCACACCTCCCTGGCAGTTCTAATACATCAATGGCTTATTGGGACCAACGTGGGCAATCTCCTCCTGTTCAATTCACAGCCTCAGAAACCCAGTGGAGGGTCAGCTAGTGGAGGAGGCTCAACAGCAAACAGTCAGAGTTTGAGAAACATACAGAATTTTAAAAACAGCAACAAAAACTACCACATTACAATGATGCGCTGGTCTCACCTACCTCTCTTGAACCTACTTCTTAATGTCTTGTGATTTGATAACTATGAGTGAGTGGTTTTATTTGAATGATTCTTTCAAAGGAAGTTAAAGGTAACACTTACAAAATGCAGCTTTTCACTTCCGTCCTGATGTAAACTGTTTCATCAGGATGCAGTGATTTGTTGCGCTTACATGTTACATGACACATCGACAGCCCATCGGTGGTATGGCACTTGTCACAGTCAGCTCTCCATCCTATTCCACGTTTGTTGTCAACTTTAACCTTCTCTTGAGAGTCAAGTCTCCTTACTCCTTGTTGGTTCTCAGTGGTGGATCTGTAAGTCCCAGAGACAGAGTCCAAGCCACGGGGTGGGGGTTAGGTGCCTGGGTGCTGGCAGATGCTGTCTTTTCTGTGACAAGGGTGAGGCGTGTGGTTGGGGTGGTGGGTGCAGGAAGGATGGATCAGGGTGACAGGGGAAGGTGAGTCTTGTCACTGTTCTCATTAAGCCATGACCCCAGTAGGTAGTGAGGTGGCCAAAAGGGCGGATTGAGGAGTGGCCACTATGTATGTGTCCACCATCGCTTCTCGCTTAGACTCAGCTAGGACCATCTCCCAACCCAGTGGCCCATGTTCTTTGAAAATGGGCAAACAGAAGAAGCCATATTCACTCTCCTGGGTCTGCCCACTTCCTTCTCTTTCCACCCTCAGCTTCTTTCCTGCTGCTCTCAGTGCCAACAGCCTGGCTTCTCCTGTCCTGTTCTGTCCAGAGTGGCATCTGGGAGTTCTCCAGGACTGTTGGCATAAAAGCCAAACTGAGAACATGATGGGCAAAGCCTGCATCCCTGGCCTGATTTCGCTCCAGATTCTCTTGAAGCAGACAGAAAACACACACACACACACACACACACACACACACGTCCTCGTAGATTAATTCCCTTGAATCCCTAAGTTAAGGCTACCTCAGCGCCACTTACCTGCTGGGCCTTCAGTGTTGGAGTCACCCCCACCACCTCCAAACCTGGCCAAGTCCTCATCATATCTCAGCTTCGAATCACTTATTTCAGTTGATGCAGAAAAAAAAAGAAGGAAAAAAAGACCTAGTTGTCATGGAATCGATTCTGACTCAGGGTGATTCCATGTGTATTCAAGGATGACTGTGCTCTGTCTAGTTCTCTGTGGCTAACTTTATGGAAATAGATCAGCAGACCTTCTTCTGAAACGCCTCTGGGTAAATATTTAATTTAGCAGTTGAATGGGTCAACTATCTGCATTAATCAAGGTCTTCACTCCCGGGACCCCATCCTTGGGCCTCTCACTGGATTTACCACCCTGCGTCCCCCCGAGGCTATGAGCCGTGTAGGGACAGAGCGGTGCCCGCTGATCTACCTCTAGTTTCTAGCACATTTGTTTGGCTCATGAGCGAGTGAGGCGCGGATGAGGGGTGGCCCACAGCAGAATAGAGGTGGCAGAGAGGTCTGGGGTCTCACTCTGGTTTTCCCGCCCTCAGCGGCAGGGACCACAGTGCACTAGGACATGTATCTGTGAGCAGGAAAGGATCCTCACCACCATGTCCGTTCTTCTCCCCTCCCAAGGCCTGGCGGGGTCTTGTCTCCCCATGTTCAGCACGCTGCCCTTTGCTTACTGCAACGTCCACCAAGTGTGTCACTACGCCCGGAGGAATGACAAGTCCTACTGGCTGGCCAGCGCCGCGGCCCTGCCCACGAGGCCGCTGTCTGAAGAGGACGTCCGCCCCTACATCAGCCGCTGCGCCGTGTGCGAGGCCCCAGCCCAGGCGGTGGCCGTGCACAGCCAGGACCAGACCATCCCGCCATGCCCCCCGGCCTGGAGGAGCCTCTGGATCGGGTACTCGTTCTTGATGGTGAGTTGGCCCCTCACTTTGGATTTGATAGGCCCATGCTTTCATTCACCACACCATCTCTCCCCCTTCCCGCTGGATTGGACTCTGACTCTGTGACCACTGCGCAGTCAGATGTCACGCGGTGCATCGAGTTGGCTCCGACTCAGAGCAGCCCTGACAACAGAGTGAAATCCTGCATGATCCCAAACCATCCTCACAATCTCTTCTGAGCAATAGGAGAGACTGAGTGAGAGGCGAGGGATCCCCACGCTGCCACCAGATCCAAAGGACACGCTGTGCTCCCATCTCCCCTGTCTTGGTGGTGGTGGGTTGTAGGTACATTGAGGCAAGCACGACTCACAGTGACCCTATGAATAGCAGATCGGAGCCCTGTCCTGTCCTGTGCCCACCTCACAGTCTCTGACACACCTGAGCCCCTTACCGCAGTCTCCGTGTCAGTCCACCTGGTTGAGGGTCTTCCTTTCCTTCGCCTTCCCTCCACCTTTCCAACATGATCTCCTTCTTCCTGAAGTAGCCTAGCAACATGCCCAAAGTGTACAAGATGAAGCTCCGTCAGCCTTGACTCCAAGGAGTACAGCTGGCTGCACCTTCTCCAAGACATACCTGTTTGTTCTTCTGGCTGTCCGTGCCTAATCCCTGTTCCCTTGTTCAATCTCTTCTGTATCTCAAAAGATTGATTCAAAATACTAATGAATCATATAGATGACATCCTAGCCCACCAATAGAACTGCCATGAATCCTAGAAGGGAGAGCGTACCGGCAGCTGATTGGTAAGGAATTGCCCTGACAATGCAAAGGTACATGGTTTGAATCTACCAGGCACTCTATGAGAGAAAGATGGCCAAGTTCGTCCCATGTGATTTACTGCCTCTGAAAGCCTGCTGAAGGGGCAGCTGTGAGTCTGTTCCAACTCGATGGTGTAACAGCAATCCTAGAGGGTAAGGAGATACTCTGCCAGCCCAAAGTCAGATGGTTCAAATCCACCTGCTCCACTGGAGAAAGATGGGCATTCCTTCCCGTGTGATTTATTGTTGTTGTTGTTGTTATGTGTTGTCGAGTCACCAGTGACTCATAGCGACCCTACGTGCAAAAGCCCTAAATGCTGCTCTATCCTGTGCCAGTCACACTGTCTTCAACACACCTACCCCCAATGCCCCAGTCACTGCCTCTGAAAACCTTTCAACTCTGGCACATAACAAACAGTCATGTTATTGTTGTTGTGTACTGTTGAGTTGGAAGCAACCCATAGCGGACCCTCCAGTGGGTTTTCAGAGGCAGCACATCGCATGGCATGAAAATGCCCATCTTTCTCCCTGGAGCAGCAGGCAGATTTGAACCACATACCTTTGGGTTGCCAGCTCTACTCCTTACCACTAGGCCGTGCCACCAGAGCTCCCTATCCTCCTCACTGGATTGCTATTAGTGGACTCAAGACCAAAGGCAGATAACAACAACAATCCTGCCTCCTTAATGTCATAGAGGTAGAGATTTACAACACACAGGATAACTACATCAGGTTCAAGGTGGGGAGAAATTGCAGAATACTGAGGATCATGCCCTAGCCAGATTGAAATGTTTTGGGGGCCACAGCTCAATCTATAGCTACAGTATTTTGTTCTTCATGGAATAATTTAAGAAGACGTTAAGCTCAGACCCAGGCCTGATTGGGTGTGGGGCTGTCTGCATGTGTCCAAGCCTGATTCCCTCTCCTTGTCTGTACAGCACACAGGAGCTGGTTCCCAAGGTGGGGGGCAGGCCCTCACATCCCCAGGCAGCTGCCTGGAAGATTTCAGAGCAGCGCCCTTCATCGAATGCCAAGGCCGCCAGGGCACATGCCACTTTTTCGCCAATGAGTACAGCTTCTGGCTGACAACAGTGGATCGAGGCATGCCATTCTCTGCACCATCACCAGACACCTTAAAGGACAGCCAAGCTCAGCGCCAGAAAGTCAGCCGATGCCAGGTCTGTGTGAAGTACAGCTAGAAATCTCACACCCACCAATGGACTTTTCCAGTGAGAACCGGGCCGTGCTGAGGCGTTTAAAGGTGCTTATTCCAAATCCAGCTTCAGCTGCTATTGCAGAGTGCTGTAACCCTGTCCTCAGTTCCCCGTAGATTAACCAGACACCAGCCAGATGCTTTGGTTTGGATCTTTCAATGTAGATGAAACCTACTTCATTCTTATTCCACTGAGGCAGATAAGAAGGTGACAGTATTTAAAACACATACTCATTTCTGTGGAAGCCAGCAGATTATATAGGTCTGCTTATAAATACCCCCAAATATAATTTCTTGATTAGGAACATTGCAAATAAATGAAGTAAAATATTCTTTAATTCAGTGTGTTTCTGGATGGATTTGAACAGGGGGAAGAACAGAAAAGTTAGCACCCAGTTAGAACATAGAGATTTTCTACATTTTAAAATTATTTTTCCTGTCATTTCTTTTTCCGTGAACTTTAAATAATTGTAAAACCATGAATCCCCCCAAAAAATTTTAAAAACAGCACAAAAGCACCTTGCTCGTCCTGACAATTCATGTCAAAGTAGGAATGACTTGGATGCCAGAAGCCTTTGACACCGTCGCTGTCTTCTGGAGATGTGACATTAGCACAGACATATCACAGAGGGATAGGAAAGAGGGTCTTCTCGTCTGCATTTTCAGACAACTAGAAATAGCTACTTTGGCAACCCTGATGAAAAATAGCAATTAGGGAACAGCTATCTATTCAGGAAGGAGGAGAGCGCCTACTTACAATTAATGAGTATTAAGGCTGTCATTCACAAGAATGCACCACTCTCCCCATTTCTGAGAACTTCTAGTCAGTCTGCTTTTGCCAGGCTGGGGGCACCTTGTGCCACTTATGGGACAGGCTCCCAGGGCCCAATGGGGCAACCTCCCCAGGAGAGGGGACACTTTCCCTTCAGACACATAATGGCACCTCACGAAAGCATGTGATAGAGATATCAGTATGCATTTTGGGAGAAAATTAGGGCCTGACATAATGAAATTCAGAGAAGAAAACTCAATTTTATTAGAAGTGTCCCATGAAGAATGCATGGCACCCTTGTAAACGGACAAAGCTACGTCACAATTTGAAGTGTGTTCCCGTTAACTGGTTGAAGAACACTGGTGGCCTGTTGGTCAATACGTTTGGCTGCTAACCAGTAAGATTTGAACCCACCCTCTGAAGGGAGAAATATAAGGCAGTCTGCTTCCAGAAAGATCTAACCAAAATGAAACTCAACTGCAGCCAAATGGGTTACAACCAAATGTCTTGTCATCGAGTCAGCTACAACACTTCGTGCACAATGGATCAGAACCTGTCCCATGGTTACAATCACTGTCACCCCACTTGCAGTGACCCTCTGCATGATGTCTAAGGCTATCAGCCTTTATGGGAGGAGACTACACAGCTACCTCCCTTCTGGCAGCTGGCGGATTCAACTGGATTCACCCACTGGAGATGGGACATGATTTGGTCAGCAGAACAGCACCCTATGAACTGCCCCACCTTGGAACCCCCATGGGGACCCGTCTACTCTGTCCTGCAGAGTCCCTCAACATGAAGGAGAATGGAATTGGTGGCAGGAGGCTTGAGGTTGTTTTTCATTGCTGGTTTTTACAGAAATATTCCATTTTCTAATTTTAAAACCTTTCTTATATTTTATATGCATTTGTGTAAACCAAGGCCAGGTGATTGGCATTTAACATTACTATTAGGAGTCCTGGAAGTGTTAGGCTGTGAGCCAAAAGGTCAGAGGTTTGAATCCAACAGCCCGCTCCACAGGAGACAGATGGGCAGTCCCCTCTCATAATGATTTACAGCTTCAGCTCCACACAAGGTCCTTATGAGTGGGAACTCAGCACCGGTGAGTTCGTAAAAACTCAGCAGAGGATCCCCAGGAGTGAGAACCGGCTCGACGGCACTGGGTGGGTCGACTTACAGTGAGTTATGTTTCTGAATAGGGGGCTCTGGAGGCGTCATCCGTCAGAGCTGACAGCTAACTCAAAGGCAGGGCCTCGCGAGTAGTTCTGTCCGCGCAGCTAGAGGAGGACGTTGGGGAGAGTCCTCTCGTGCAGAGTCCTCTCCTGCAATCACAGCCTTGGAAGATGCACCACAGGGGCCGCTGGGAGGTGGTCCCGGCCCGAGGGCGCTGAGCGAGCGAGTGATGTTTCTGAGTAACAAATGACACATCTTTGTATTTTGTCTGAGAATTGAGTGGCCTTATCCCCACAATAAAATTAAAAAACTCCTTGGAAAAGAATTTCATAAAAGCCTTCCCTCTTTCCTCATTTAAAGATAAAACTCACTTCTAGAAAATTGAATATTGGTGTTTCTCGGGGGAGCATGACACTGATCTTGCCTTTTAGTTTTCCTGCACTTAAAACAAATTGAAGCAAGAAAGACTCAATTAAAATGTTATTTATTTACTTATTGTTTTCCTCACCAGACACTGGTTACAAATGAGTGCAGCAAACATCTCCTGTGAGTCTTGTTTCTGGTTGCCCTCAAAAGGGCAATTTATTTTAGAGTACTTTCTGGTTAAAAGTTACAAACCAAAAGGACCTTTTAAAGTGAACTATTTTCTTGATGTAGCAAAATATTGTCTAATTCGTTAGCCCTCTTTTAAGTGATTTTTAACTGTGTTCTGGCATGTTAAGGAGCTCCGGGGACCTAGTGGGTAAGCAGTTACGCTTACCAACACAAAGGCACGTGGTTCGAGTCCACTAGCTGCTCCATGGTAGAAAGATAGGCAGTCTCCTCCCATGTGACTTGCAGCCTCTGTGAACCCATTGCAGGGGCAGCTAGACATCAGCTCCAATTGATGGCACATAAAAACTACAGTGTGGCATGTTAGTCCCCTGAGAAGGACATGACACTTGGAAAAGTAGAGGGTCAGCAAAGGAGAAGACCCTCCAGGGGTGAGATTGGCACAATCCTGCAAGGAGTGGGCGGAGCAGAGATGCGAGGACGGTGCAGGATTGGGCAGGCTTTGTCCTATTGCACGCCGACTCGCCGTGGGTCAGCCAACCAGACAGCATCTAATAACAACAACAACCGGGTTTGTGAAATTGGAGGGCAGGAGAGCTGAAATATAAACCATGTTCTACCATCTGTGTAATTAGACTTCTCTCTTTGCAAAAGCTTGCTATAAAATTTCAGCCTCAGAAGTATTCATTCGTGATCTTGGTCTGAGAACATTTTCTTCAGAAAGGTGAGGGTCATAAAAAGAACATAAGAGACGAAACATATTACTTTTGTCATAAGACTTTTAAGCAGCTTTTCTGGTAAATGCATGAAGAGGCAGATTTAAACTGACCATCTACCCCACGGTGATCTAGAACAGGATCTCAATTCTTTAAAATATTTAACCTATTCAAACATGGCAACACAGCTGCCAGCCACAAGATCCTGGCAGAAATCATTGGCAGAAAGCCAGTTGATAAGCTATAACCATTATCCAAAATTGGTTTTTTAAAGAATCTGATTTTTCAGGGGAGCCCTGGTGGCCTAGTGGCAAGAAGCTGTGCTGCAATCCCAAAAGCATGCAATTCAAATCCACCAGATGCTCTACTGGAGAAGGAGGGGCAAACTCCTCCAGTGCCAGACCCAATTTGATGGGACACACACACACACACACACACACACTCTTTTTTAAAAAATCTGATTTTTCCATATACTGAGATCTCCAAAATCAAGAGATTGTAGTGAGAAGCTTTAGTGAAGTGTGGCAGGCCTGACATCAGGACAGAGCACAGATGATGGGTCAGAGTGTTCTAGTGCAAAGTCACCTCCATGAAGCCTGTATACGTGCTGGTGGTCATTGGTGCCTGGGAAAAGAATTGACAGGATGATCTACTAAAATTAAATTGTATCAAAGATTTTATTCTGAAGCCTTCTAGAGAATAAAATAGAGGAAATTCTGGGTATTCTAGGAAATCCTAATAGGCTGAGCTTTCCATCAGCAACCACACTAATTTTCAGTCTCCTTTGTGGTAAAGATGCAACAGTGTGGATAGATGGAGACATTAGCCAGGAGGCAATGGTTAAACATGCCTCTGTTAACAGAAAGGTCAATGGTTTGAACCCACCAACAGCTTCATGGCCAGAAAGCCCTGGAGAGCTGCCCCTGTGAAGATGGCAGCCTAGGAGATCTCAGGGTGGTTTCACTCTGTACTGCAGGGTCGCTGTGAGTCAGGACTGATGCAGTGGGATACAATAACAAGACCAGTTACACGTCGGGTTGCTAACGGACAGGTGTGGAGTTCAAATCCACGAGCTCCTCTGAGAATGAGGGGCAGTCTCCTCCTGTAAGATTAATAACCTTGGAAATGCAGTGTGTGACTGCCTGAGCCAGGATTGACGTTATGGGGGTTTTGGGCTTTCTGACTTCCCAGGTGTATTATCCAGGGTGCTGACACCATCCCCCGAGCCTCGTTCTCTTCATTTATGGGATGGTTTGTAACACTGCTCTTGTTTCAAAATTAAGTTAGATTATATGCCTAGCACCTACCAGTTACCATTTATTATGGTCACATCTTCTATTTAAAATAAATTACTTAATATGAAAAATATTTCCAGAGGTGGTTGTGTTTGTTTTTTTTTTAACACAGTGGAAGTATGACTCTTATAAGGCATATAGATTACTCCTTAGAATTATTTATACCTGGCCATTCTTAATGTATTTGGGAATGCTGTTTTATTTGACTTCTCAGAGTTTTTGTGTAACACACACACACATGCATGCATGCGTACACACACACACACACATGCACACACACATCACAATTTTCTGCGGGGACATTATCAGTAAATTCTGCAGGGAACAAAACAATCGACATTAAAAATCAGTGCTGTGCAGTTGTCACTGTTTTTATCTGCCAGAAGCTCTGCATAATTCATATTAAACCACCAAAGCAGACTGCCTGGGAGATGGGAAATGCTTGGATGTTATGGTGCTTAAATATTTAATGATTCAT